CAAAGCCCTTTCCTGTGGGCTGGTAGCAGTGGGAGGGATGGTGGCCGGGAAGCCCCTTCCTCTGGACCAGGAGCAGTGGGATGGTGGCTCAGAAGCCCCTACCTCTGGGCCGGGAGAGGTGGGAGGGTTGGTGGCCCGGAAGCCCCTTCCTCTGGTCCAGGAGCAGTGGGACAGGTGGTGGCCCAAAAGCCCTTTCCTCTGGGCTGGGAGCAGCAGGAGGGATGGTGACCGGGAAGCCCCTTCCTCTGGACCAGGAGCAATGGGACAGCGGCTCAGAAGCCCCTACCTCTGGGCCAGGAGCAGCAGGACTCAGTACCATGGTCTGGTGGTCTGGTGTCCTCTGTGTCTTTGTAGTGTGGAACCAAGTGGCTGTACAGGGGAGTGGGGGGTGGTCCAGTGGATTGTTGCCAGGGTGCAGGCTGATTCGGCGTGTTCCACGCGACTCGGCACCTCGGTAGGGCCAGTTATTACAAATTTGATAACAGTTATGTTAGTACAACTTCGATAATTAACTGAAGAAAATATATTAGTGTTTGGGGGAAAGCTGACGCAATAGAGAAATATTAATATATTAGTGTTGAGGGCAGTGTATCACAGTCAAAGAGATACTGTTTATCACTGTACTCATGTGTAGTAACTGCACCTGAGACCATATATTAGGGTGCTTGATAAAGATTTTATTATTCTTCAAAATTAATAACATTTCACCTTAACCAAAGTCCCAGTGAGAGAGATCAAAGAAATTAAAGGGTTTGACACACTACTCTGTGGATCAGTAATTTGAACCCCAAGGCCTGCTGCCTGAGGAAATTTTTTCTGGTCTGCTAAAGCTGTGGGAGACATTAGCATCATGCGGCCAGTTATAGGCAATACTGATATCTAAAATGACATGGTTTCACAGCCTAAGGGGGCTCAGGATCTGACTCAATACAGCATGTGCTAACCAGATTATAGGACAAGTCAGCTCCAAGTATTTCACACATTATGAGTGCAGAAGCAATTTTATCTACCACAGGATAAAGATTCTGGTAACTACTGAAATTAGGCAGATGGTATGGCAATCTAGCTTGGATGGCAAGGTTAGCCTCCAAACCAAAAACATGGGAAAAATCTCAATATGAACAATAAAAAAAGAGACTAAAGCCGGGCATGCTAGCGGATGCTTGTAATCCCAGTACTCAAGAGGCTGAGGCAGGAGGATCTCAGAGTTCCAAGCCAGCCCTGGCTACACAACAGTTCAAGCTCAGCATGAACTACATAGTGAGACCTTGTCTCAACAAAATAACTCAGGTAAATGAAACTGCCAAATGGCCAAAACAAATTCTCAAAAGATTTCCACAGCAGGAATAAATAAATCTCAATGGCTACATTTTTATTCAAGTTGCAGTTTGGAGTTTAACTCTGAAAACCATAGAGTTAAATGACATTACATTCTTTATAGTCCGCACTCCAATTTTAGTACCTTCATACTGAAGTACAAAGTTACACAGAAATTGTGTATTCTGACTTAAAAAAAAACTGTGTATATTAACTTAGATCCTAGGAAAAGTACTTAACTTTTGTAAGTAATTTTTACTTTTTCTCTCAGTAAAAGAATTCAACTTCCTTTAACACTGGTTAGGAATATTTTAGTTGCTTGGTTGTGGTTTTTTGTTGATTTTTGTTTGTTTGAGAGAGGGTCTTTCCATGTAGTTCAAGCTGGCCTTGAACTCACTATGTAGTCCAGCTGGGCCTCAAATTTATAGTGATTGTCTTGGCTCAGTCTCCCCAGTGCTGAGATTACACACATGCACCACCACATCCAGCAGCTGCATATTTTGTGAAGGCAAATCCATTGGCACCTGGGGAAGCTTAGAACATAAATGTACCTTAAGAGTAAAGGAAACACAGAGTTAAAGATTTACTTTGATAAAAAATCCACTAGAGATTCATTTGTATATAATAAAAAGCTACAAAGACATGTTAAATGTTTTAATCAATCTGCAAAAGTGTGCCACTCAGATTTTTAATGTTCATAATTTAGAATTTATCACATACTTATATGCTTTATTTGCAAATTATTTTTAAAACATTTCCAACATTCTTATGTTTTAAGAAAAAAACCCACTTCATTTATAAAATACCCTAATAAACTTTAATGTGTGATTATACCAATGCCACCAGATTAGAAAAGAAAAAGAAATATACCTCTGTGTTGGATATGTCGTCATTACTACAAATTATTACAACATGTCTTATATGGTGATGAAATACATGCTCTTTTTCCACTTCTTAGTCATTGTCAGAACCATTTGGAGGTAAGAAAATCAATGCATCATTGAAAGTATGTCCAAATCCCCTAAGACGGTACACCCCATACATCATCACATGCATCTGATTAGGAGTCAGTCCATTAAACGTAACGGCCATATCAGAACAGCATCCTTCTACTACCTGGTCGGGGTGATTGGTCATTGCCTCTTTAATAAAAAGCCCCACAGATTTGGTATTAAATACATCTTTTCCTTCAGCATCTTCTGCATTTTCTGCAAATACTCCAGCATATTTGAGGCAAACTGCTAGCTGCTTATCTTCAGATATCTTCCAAATCATTCCTCCCTGCTCAGGACACTTTTCAGAGGTATTCAGAAGGCTGTTAAGTCTTTTCAATGATTCTACACTTAAGACAATTCCTCCTTCCACACTCACATATTCAAAGTCTCCAGATTTTATAGTGTGGCCTATATAGAAAGGTTGTGATGGATCCTTTTTTAACAAAAAATACTTCAGGTTTTCAATAATAGCAAATGTAGTGGGGCGTGCAAGGAAGAACCAGTTGTATTGGTCACTATACTTATCAAAGGCATATTTATAAGCTTTTTTCATCATTAACCACATGTCATTTGTTTCCATATTAATTGACTCAAACACTTTAACATCTTCAGAACTGAAGAACTCTGCTTTGTCACAGTGTTTGGTCCAAGTCTCCTTCACTGCAGCCCAAAGACTCACATCTCTGGGTTTCACAAGGATGATGCAGTACACACGAAAGCTCCTACTAAGCTCCATGCGTTCATCCTCTGAAATTTTCAAGATCTCTTCTTTATTAGGAGCTTGAAGATGATGATGCTCGTGGTGGTGCATTCTATTTCCATGACCAATCTTAATGTGTCCTAGCACAGTAATCAAAGCATAGAAAATGCTTCCAATCATCACACCCTTCAAAAATGAACTGCCTTCAGAAAGCATTTCTCCTATAAAGAAAACAAAGACCCTTAAATACTTAGTATAGCAATTTGATTTGGTATTCCTTATATATTTACAGTTTTCTCTTAAATGTTAAAAAAAAAAGTTCCCAAGCTTGAAATCTAGTTGCACATAGTACCAAACACTCTCAGAATCTTTTTTCTTTTTCTTTGACATTATGTAGTTCAGGCTGGTCTTGAACTCCCTAAGTAGCCCAGGCTGGCCTCGAACTTGTTGCAATCCTGCCTCAGCCTCCCAAGTGCGGGGATTACAGGTGTGTGCCACCATGCCCGGCCAAGAATCTTTACCTTCCAAGAGAAACTGTCCAGTATAAATTGCAACTTTGCAGAAGCTCCTCTATGTAGTGGAATTTGCTTTGGGGAGGCTCTTTTTGCATTTCATCTACAAGGATTTAATTAATCAAGTACTAAATTAAAGCACTAGCCCATAAAACCAACATTGGAGGCTGTCCATCATTCTCTTTAAAGCATTTTATATCACAAGTTTGCACTGTTAAACACCTCTGAAAACAAATGTACTTTGATAAGAAGGCTTTAAATTGAATAGATAAAACCACCTATTACTGACAAATTGGTAATGTTATCTGTGCTGACATATTTCGACCTACTGCTTTATTTGACTGCTAATGTGTTTAGGTTGTTTAGAGTACATCTAAATCAAGTTTCATGAAATTAACATTATATATGTTAATACTTACATTTCTGTTCCTAAGATTAAGTGGATTCTAATACAGTACCCTAACTACTGATGTAATAAAAACCCATAATGAAAGATGAAAAATGAGTTGATATAGGCGTATTTGGAGACCATTAATGACCATTTTTACTTCCTCAAAAGGCATTTTCTTCTTTGAAGAATTAAAAGGGAAAAGTCTATATACCTTTATTTCAGTTAAAATTAACAGAAAAGCTTACATTAAATACAGCTGATCAAAAATTGTACGCTACACATTTATGCTAGGAAATTTTCTCATTTCGTCATTTCCACACACACAAAAAAAGCAGTACTGAGCTACTTAAATTTCTCTTTGTCTTTTAAAATTGAAAGGGGCCTTAAGAACTAATATAATTACTCTCATTTTATGGTTAGGGAAATGGAGGACCTCTGAGGTTAAGGAACTGACTTAGTCACAAAGCTAGTCAGTGATAGAAGTGGATTAGAACCCAGAGCAGATGTAATTCCTGAGTTGGCGGGGAAAGAGGCAGAATGATGGTTTTCTTGTCACTCATGGAACTTGGTCAATAAACATAGTTCTAAGAGGAAAAGAGAAGGGATATAAAACAAGCCTGCTTTAATAACAGAATTGTCAGGTTCTGGCATTTCATATTCATCTCCGGCCAATATATAATTCACACGTCTCTTCACTTGACTACGGCATATGTGTGCTTTGAGATTCTTTCTGATGAGGATACTTCTCTTGGCTGCAAAAGTACTGATCAAAATTCAAGAAGGGCTGGAAATGCAGCTCAGTGATAGAGTGGCTAACATGCAAAAGGGCCTGCGTTCAATTCCCAGCACAGAAAAAACAACAAAAAAACTCCAAAACCCAAAAAACAAAAACCCTGAAGTCTACAATTTCATATAAAATCATTTGCACAAATTATTATAAGATTTTTTTTCCACCAGAGGAGGAAAAAAATGAAACACTGGGGGTACACATAATGGGATATTTTGTGCAGAGCACAGGGGACCTTAACGCTGTACATGGAAGAGAAAAAAATTCACACGGATACAAGGCAGAAACTGCCCAAGTAGTTTTTAGATTCAACCTCTTTAGAAGGTGAAGGTGGGTGGGGTGGATTATGGCAAAGGGAGGAGGTCGAAATGAAGGGAGAGAGAGCCCCACTGAGGGGCCATGGGAGTGCCTCCTCCTCTACCTCTCTCTAGTCCTCCCCTTGCACCTGTCCGGGCATCCCGCGTGGAGCATGCTGGGAATGGGCTAGGGCTCAGACCTGCCCCGGGTGTGTGTGGTGGTCCAGCTGCTCGGGGTGCGATTAGGGTGGGGACCACGGCCTAGACACTCACCCGCGTCTAGAACGGCTCGGGCGCAGGAAACCGCAGCGGTGCACAGCTCTCCTTTCACGTTAGCGCGCCACTCGGTTAGGTGCCTGGGTGGGCTGTTCTAGATGCAGGCGGAATCCTCTCGTTGGTCTCGCTAAGGGTGGGAAGGTCGGGGAAGCTGATCCGAGGTGGCGGGGCGGGGCAAAGGATCCTGCTCCGCTCGCGCAGACGCAGCGTGCCCTCTTTCCCCGCCCCACGCAGAGTTCTGAGCAGTGCGCCGGGCTGACGTGATCCGCACGCTCTCCAGTACCCAAGGGTATGTAGAGAGGTGTGTGTGCATACTTGGGAGTCTGTTTCACCTCTCCCTTCTCTGCTTTCTCTTGGGGAAACTGAGCTTGTTATAGGTCTTTCAATGGTTTCTCTAATGTACCCCTGCGACTCTACTATTTTGTTCACAAGAGGGTGCTCCCCTAAGTACTCTTGGACCCAAATTCAAGCCACTGAAATAGTTATTGATTTTGAGAGCAAGGATTCCCAGTGGTTTCAGGAATGGGGTTGAAGCCGCGCTGCCTGGAATCAGATCCTGCCTTCGCATGCTTTGGTATCCCCGGAAAGTTACCGAACCTCGCTCTCAGTTCTTTCCTTTGTAAAGGTGGAAAATAGCACAGTAGCGCCTCGCTCATACAGTTTATGAGGTAGTGCACATGACCCCTTTAGCAAAAGTTAAAGCGTAGAGAGCATTTATTAAGTGTTGGTCGTTGTTATGCACCCGTTTCACTAGTGCTTAAGCTATTTCCAATATGTAGTAGGCAATTATTTTTAGAGTTATAAATGAATGTTAGAGCTACAGGAGGAGCCAGGCACAGAAAGGATAAGAATCTTGAAAAGCCACCGAGCAGATTATAAATGCAGAAGTGATACTAGAATCTAGGTCTCCTATTTAAGAGTGAAGAGCTCTCAGCTAAATATGTAATCTATCTTTTAAAATTCACGTGTGGCAGTTTTTTGCTAAAAAGTACACATTCTCACAAATATTCAAAATATACGATCACTCGGTTCTATTGAAATAACTGGTTACTGAGCCAGGGCTCAGTGGTGCATGCCTGTAATCTCAGCACTTGGGAGGCTGAGGCGGGGGATTGTCGAAAGTTCGAGGCCAGCCTGAACTATATAGCAAGACCCTGTCTCAAAACAAACAAAAACAACAATAAAAAACCGAAAACAAAGAGGACTTAGGCCAGAATGGCGATTTAGGCCAGAATTCTTAAAAACACATGTATTTGAATTAGTTATCAAGTTCAAGTACATTGAAAGTTTCTGGGAGCACTGAAACAATAAACAAATGGATTATAGGCAATTATTATCCTGACAGCACTACTATAAATTCTGAGACTTAAAATGGTACAAAAAACAAATCCCCCACCTTCATGGACCTCTCTTTCTCTAGTCTACTGGGAAAGAAAGACATTAAACAATTATTTATAAATAATTATATAGTGTGATTGAAAAGTACGGAGAATATTTTTTTAAAGTTATTGCAAAAAAAGACACATTGCCATTATCCACCCCACCCCCCGACCCCATACTCCTCCTCTCTTCGAACACACTTATCCTGTTGTTCTTGTCATTTTTAGAAGCAGTTGTGGAAGTCTTCTTTTGTGTCTGTAGTTGTGCTGTCCTGGCTGCCTCAATGTTGTGAGTTGATTCAAAACTTTTACCTTTCATGGTTATTTTGACTTTGGGGAAGAACCAGAAGTCACAGGGTGCCACATCTGGTGAATAAGGTAGATGAGGACACACTGTAATGTTTTTAGGAGCCTGCCTTTTCACTGGATGGCACTCAATAGCAGTATTCACTGAATTTTGGATCACAAACATATTAAGTGTCGCCTCCCCCCCCCCCCCCCCGCTTTGTTTCTTTCGGTACTAAGCCAGGAATCTAACTCGGGTCCTTGTGCATGGCGCCACTGAGCTAAATCCCCAGCTCACCGCTCCCCCCCCCCATTTATTTTTCATACAGGCTGGCCTTGAACTCAGTATGCAACCCAGGCTGGCCTCAAATTTGCAGTGATTCTCCTGCCTCAGCCATCTGAGTGCTGGGATTACAATCATGCATTAGCATGCTAGTTTTTGAAGTCTGGTTTCAGCAAAGCATTAACATATGAAAAAAAGCCGAGGGTGGTGGCACATGCCTGTAATCCCAGCACTCTGGAGGCTGAGGCAGCAGGATCTCCATGAGTTCAAGGCCAGCCTAGACTACATAGTTCAAGGCCAGCCTTGCAAGCGCAAGCCCAAGGTCCTAAGTTTGATCCTGGGTATGCTAAAACAAACAAAACAAAACAAACAGGACCAGGAATTTAGCTCAGTGGCACCATGCCTACCTTGCAAGTGCAAGGTCCTGAGTTAGATTCCTCGTACTGCAAAAAAAAAACCAAAACAAAGCAAAACAGAACAAAAAACAAAACAAAAAAATGACCAAAACAAAATATGAAAAAAATTCTATTTTGTTAAATATATAAAACATATGTGAATTATATATACATATGTAATTATGCAAAAACACTGTAGAATAAGCATATAATATATTTTGGTGAAAACAAATATTTTATATATGTGTACACATGTTTGATCTGTTGATTTGAGCAAGGAGAATTATGGAAGGCTACTCAGCAGGCTCTTACTGTTGATTATATGAGGAGGTTGAGGTGGGGATGATTAGCTTTATCTTTTTTTAAGTGTAGCAAAGTTTTATTAAAGGAAGGAAAAGAAACAGGCTCTGCAGAGTGAGTTTGGGCCAAGTGAAAGTAGGAAAAGAAGTATGCCCTACAGCGTGAGGGGGGGCTGCCATGGAAGAGCGGACATAGTGGCCAGCTTTATCTTAGTACATCCTTTTATTACAGTGTTTCACTGGTTCTAACATGCATTGATTATTTTTTAGTTTGATGAACAGGAAATGAAAGGATTTTTGAAATTAGAGTGAGAAAAGAAGAAAAACTATCATTATAAATACCTTCTAAACAGTGCAAAGAAGCAATCTCTCTTCCCCAAAATGGACCAAAGCACTAATAGAAATGGTACTCAAAACTGAGAGATAGTGATAAGGAGACAAATATTTGTTCTAAAAAAAGGGTAACTATGTGAGGTGATGGATATGTTAATTAGCTTCATCCTGTCAATCATTCCTCAATGTCTATGTGTATCAAATCATGTTATACAGTTTAAATATACAGCATTCAAGTTTTACTTGTTAAACATACCTCTTTAAAGCTGGAAAAAATGATTCTTCTTCTAGTGCCAAACTAGAAATAATGATATAAAAGTATACAAAGCTGGAAATAATGTTATGAGATGCTAAGAGACAATAAACCATGGAATTTTCAATATGAAAAGCACTGTTGATGAGGGAACAACTGAAAACACACTACTTAAAAAGCAGAGCTTAAACATCCTTGGCATTTTAAATGAAGTTAGATGATTGACTTATAGTTAAGTGATTGCATTTTAAAACAATATTCTACAATGTAGCTTGTTATGGTTTGTATGTAGATGTCCCCCTAAAGCCTCATGTGCTCATAGGTGGGGCTTTTGGGGGCTAGCTGGATCTAGAGTGTGTGTATATGGATTAAGATTGTGTGGTACTAAATTAGTCCACTGATTGGTTTAACATTGCTCTGGATGTGGATAATGGGAAGGCCCACCCTGGTTGGGGGTGGCACCACCCACAAGGCTTGTAATATGGATGGAATAAAAGGGAAAGGGAGGCTTGCTGCTGCTACAAATTTAGCAATGTAGCAGGATATAAAATCAATGTGCAAAAATCAATAGCATTCCTATACATCAATAACAAACTCACCGAGAAAGTCATTAGAAAAACAATACCATTTACAATAGCATCAAGAAAAATTAAATATTTAGGAATTAACCTAAGGAAGTGGAAGACTTCTACAATGAAAGCTACAGTACTCTAAAAAGGGAGATCAAAGATGACATCAAAAAATGGAAAGATATCTTCTTTTTTTTTTTTTGGTACCAGGGATCGAACTCAGGTCCTTGCACTTGGGGGGCAGGTGGCGGAACCACTGAACTAAATCCCTGGCCCCAGAAAGACATCTACTCCTTGATAAAACCAATATTGTCAAAATGGCCATACTTCCAAAACTGATACAGAGACCCAGTCAAAATACCAGCAGCATCCCTCACAGAATTAGAGGAAACAATATGGAATCAGAGGAGACCCAGAATAGAAAAAGCAATCCTGGGCAACAAGAGCAAAGCAGGAGGCAGCACAATGCCAGACTTGAAGTTATATTACAAAACTACAGTGATAAAAACAGCATGACATTGGCACAAAAACAGATGTGTGAATAAATAGAACAGAATAGAGGATGCACCTAAAATGTACCAATAAACTTAATGGAAAAAAAAAAGGAAAAGTTGAAATAAAAAAAAAGGAACAGAATAGAGGATGCAGAAACAACTCCAGGCATACTCAGTTATCTGTTCTTTGACAAATAGGCCAAAAACTTACACTGAAGGAAAGGTAACCTCTTAACCAAATGGTGCTGGGAAAACTGGCTATCCACATGCAGAAGACTGAATCTAGACCTATTTCTCTCCATGTACTAAACTAAAATCACAATGGAGCAAAGATTTAAATGTTAAAACAGAAACACTTAGTCTTCTGGAAGATAAAATAGGTAAAACTTTTGAAGATATAGGCATAGGCAAGGACTTCCTGGACAAAATCCCAATTGTACAGAGATAATATGAAGAATCAATAAATGAGATTATATGAAATTAAAAGTTTTCTGTAAAAGAAACAACCAATAGCGTGAAGAGACAACTTACAGAATGGGAAAACAGCTAGGGATTTAGCTCAGTGGTTCTGCTGCCTGCCTTGCAAATGCAAGATCCTGGGTTTGATCCCTGGTACCAAAAACGTCTTCACCAACTCAGAATGGGAAGACATTTTTACCAGTTACACCTTGGACAGAGGACTAATATCTAGAATATATGAATAACTGCAAAAATTAAAGACCCAATAAAAAATGGGCAACTGAAATGAATACACACTTCTCAGAAGAAGTACAAATGACCAATAAATACATGAAAAAATGTTCAACATCTCTAGCCATTAAGAGTAATGCAAATTAAAACAACACAGATTTCATTTTACTTCAGAAAGAATGGCTATTATCAAGAAGTCAACCAATAACAAATGCTGGT